AAATGCTCTCATCCACATATTTATCTGTAACGGTGTGCTGACGCAGAGATCATCCTTCACTCATTAAATGTGCAGTGAGCAAATGGGCAAGGGCTTTAGCTGCGTGTAGGTGGAGCCGTATTGTCTTTAAGTCCTCACGCATGCTGAGAGTCCATATGCCACACACAGATCCAAATCCCTCCAAATATCTCAGCGAAGGCTTCTTACTACGCTACAGAGTGGAGACTAGCATTAATAATATAATTGCACTAAAGATAATGTCAATAACAATTTATTAACTTACATTTAAATTAAATAACAAGAACAAGAATATTATTATCAATAGTATTATTGTAAAACATTATTGATGCTTTTATAAGTAGTAGTAGTGGTAGCAGTAGGTATAGAAGTACTTAAATCATTATTACACATTATTATTATTATTATTATTATTATTATTATTATAGGTATATACACTGTAAAATCAAGCAGTGCATTTAATAAAATGAAATGAGTACATGTGATGTACACTTTTGATTAAAGTTCATTGAGTCTAATAGAAACAAGTTGCGTGAACTCAAAATTTAATTGTATAAGATTGAACCTAAACTGAATGAGTTCACCTAACCATGCAAATTCTAGTTCCCCACATGCTTTGTGCCATACTGGAAAATAAATGTCAAAGATTAGGTGTTATTGTATATTTTTGTTGAACATATAGGGAGTCATGTAGGGATGATTTAGACTAATTAAAATGTGTACAAATTTAATTGTAAAACTACCAACTCGAATACAAATCCAGTTAAGTCAAAAAACTTAAGTAGTCTGACAATTACTTAATCTAATTAAGGTAAAAAGTTTGCACAATTAAGTAAACTCAACAAATATCTATTTAATGTAATATTCAGCTAAAAAAAAAATCTGAAATCAAATATATATATTTATATATATATATATTTGTTAATGCAATTTACTCATGTTAAATCATGGTAACATTTAAATGGTAAGACTTCTTAAAAAAAACTTAATTCCAAAAGAACTGTAATAGGCACATTTTAATTATTTGGTATTATTTGTAGCAACACTAATATTGTAGCATATTAGTATTTATTTTATAAAAAAAAATCATAATATATATTAAAAAATTTTTTAATACTAACAACAAATAATAATTATATTATAAAAATATTAATAAACTAGTTGAATAATTAAGAGGAAATAATAATAATAATAATAATAATAATAATAATAATAACTATAGCGCATGTCTTTGGACTTGTGCAAACCGGAGCACCCAGAGAAAATGCACACCAACACAGGAAGAGCATGCAAACTCCACACAGAAATGCCAACTGAGACACAGCCGAGGCTCGAATCGGCAACATTCTTGCTGTGAGGCGATTGTGCTACCCACTGCGCCATTGTGACGCCCGCAATTATTATTATTATTTAATGAAAATTTGATTGCTTAATTTTACAATCATTAAAATATGAATTATCAAATTAAATTGAACAGATAGAAATGTAAATAATTACAAATAAAAAAATGTTGTTACTCTCATGACTAATATGAAGTAATATTAAAGTAATAGATTAAAAACAAAGAGTAAATACCAGAACAAAAAGAAAAACATGCATATATGAGCATAAGAAAGAAACTGCCTGTACATATTAGGAATTTATATTGATCTATTAAAACAATATATATCATAACATATATTAACCATTATGAGTTAGTCACTGTTTCACTGCTAAAGTCACTGTTTACACAAATATTAATCTGGAATGACCCACAACTTGTGACAGGATCTATCTGGAAACTAATGGCTAATGAGTTCAAAAACTATCCACTGGTTCTGCTAATACTTAACAAATTATTTACACATAAATGTCAAGCAAGCAGGATGAACAGGCACGCAGACCTTCTGAAGTGCTAACGCTGCAAAAGCACAGGGTCATCACACATCTGATGAGCTCTGGATTTTGCTAACACTGATGGAAATACAGGTGAAAGGACAGACTCACTGAAGCCAAACGCCAATGACAGCCCATTATTAACCACGACTATTATGTTCTGATGTCCTGATACTATCAGACGGAGTCAAAATGGTCACACTTCACACTAAGATTTCATTAGTTAACATATTTACTAACTCAAACTATTAATGATTAATACTTGTAGAGGATTTATTAATCATAATTCAACATTTACAAATGTATTATTATAATATTTGTTAAATACAAATTCATGTTAGTTAACATTGATTAATGCAACATTAACTAACAATAAACAACTTCAACAATGAATAATTTCCATTAACTAACGCTAACAAAGAATAATAAATACTGTAATAATTGTATTATTTATTGTTTATTCACGTTAGTAAATACACATTAAATTAAATTAACATTAACTTATTCAACCTTTTGTGTAAAGTGTTACCGCCAAAACACTGTCTTTGACCATGATAATAATAATAATAATAATAATAATATAATAATAAATTATAAATTAGTGATAATAAACCGTTAAACTTTAATGTTGGCTTGAGCAAGCTTAGCCAGAAATAATTTCAAAAGCTTGAAGTTTTAGGGCCCTATCATAAACTCGGCGCAATAAGGTGCAAGACATGTTTGCTGTGATGTGTTGCTATTTTCAGACCAGCGCAACCCTAATTTTCCAGATTTGCTCCCCATTGTCTAAAAAGCAAATACATTTGCACCACTTTGTGGACTCATGGGTGTTTTGGTCTAGAGATGAAGTGTTTATATATATATATATATATATATATATATATATACAGTTGAAGTCAGAATTATTAGCCCCCTTTTGATTTTTATTTTCTTTTTTAAATATTTCCCAAATTATGTTTAACAGAGCAATGACATTTTTACAGTATGTCTGATAATATTTTTTCTTCTGGAGAAAGTCTTATTTGTTTTATTTCGGCTAGAATAAAAGTAGTTATTAATTTTTTTAAAAACATTTTTGGGACAAAATTATTAGCCCCTTTAAGCTAATTCTTTTTTGGATAGTCTACAGAACAAACCATCATCATACAATAATTTGACTAATTACCCTAACCTGCCTAGTGCACCTTATTACCCTAGTTAAGCCTTTAAATATCACTTTAAGCTGTATAGAAGTGTCTTGAAAAATTTCAAGTAAAATATTATTTACTATCATCATGACAAAGACAAAATAAATCTGTTATTAGAAATAAGTTTTTAAAACTATTATGCTTAGAAAAGTGCTGAAACAATCTTCCCTCCATTAAACAGAAATTGGGGAAAAAAAATAAACAGGGGCGCTAATAATACAGGGGGCTAATAATTCTGACTTCAACTGTATATATATATATATATATATATATATATATATATATATATATATATAAAATCTGGTCATTTTAAATAGACTGGGTGGTTGCTAGGCTGTCACTTGAGTGATTGCTAAGGTTTAATAAGATCCAATGTGTTTGTTTGGTGCTTGCTAGGGTGTTCTATGCTGTTTCTAGGGTGCTGCTTAGTGGTTGCTCGGATGTTGTTATTTACTGTAGTTGCTAGAATAATCTGTGTAGTTTCCAGGTTGTTAAGTGGTTACTAGAGTGCTATGTGTGGTTGTTAGGATGTTCTTAAACAGTTACTAGGGTGGTCGCCTCTAAGGTTTCTAGGCAGTTGTTAGGGTATTCTAAGGTTTGGTAGCCAGGAATATGCTGAAGTGTTACCAAGGTATTTCAGATGGTTGCTACCAAAAAGCTAATGATTTTCAAAGTAGTCGCATCACAGATGTTTTCTCACTGCATGAATATCTGGGGTAGCATTCTGTCCGTGCTGTTTTTACACTGTAGTATGGATCAGTGAAAGGGGGTTTCACATTGCATGACTTTACAATAGAAAGAATAAATAACAGCATTCAGTCCACAAACTACGTCTCGCAACCAAACACATGTAAGAAGTGACATGAAAACAATGCGAGGCGACATAGTATATCTTTAGTTATTAACTACACAATGAGAAAGAAGCCCGAAGTATTGAAGTAGAAAGTGTACTTATTTTGGCTTTTATATGGAATTAGCAATTTCTCTCCAACATTTTTCTTTTTAGATTCGTTGCTCAGATGACACATCAAACAGACACAGGTGCTCCTGAAAAATGTGCACTAGTTTTTTCTCCATTTCTTGGGTCCAAATAGACCAAAAAGCAGCCGTTTTAACATGTACCCGACCTCCCACTGACCTATAGATACCCATACTAGTGAATGCTGCACTTTCATTGGCTGTAGATCATCGACTATGTTGTTTTCAAACAGAACACATTTCGCACGGCATGATTTTAAATCGCTGACAGCTCCAGATATTTAGCATGTCAAATACTTCACGGATGTTGATGACTCCCAAAATCAGAGGCTAACATGCAGTCTGAACTCGGTATAATTTGGGTAGACATGGTATTGGTATTTAGTACCTAGGATTTCATACATTGTTGCTAATCATTGTTTGTTTACATTGGTAAATACATAAATTACCATTAACTTATACAACTGTAAAGTGTGACCGCCAAAACCACATAAGTATACTTGTTTAGGAAGTTTACAAGGACATGAAAATGACAAATTTACAAGGCTATGACCTCGGTTTCCTCTAATGTGATTTATGAGAACTTTACTTGTGTCTATATGGCAAGCTGGGTGGTTGCTAGACTGTTGTGTATAGTTGCTAGTGTGTAGATGTGTTTAAATGGGAAGATATGTGTAGATGTGTTTAAATGGGATTGAAATATATTGAATTGATGAAAATGGCATTGTCTGTTTAAAAGAGCAAAAGCTAAAATCTTCAACATGCTTGGGGTGTCTCAGGTTGGTGACTGTGTGAAAGTAGTTAGCAGACGGCGCTCCGGCTGATAATGTGTTCTGCTATTTAAAATTCCTCTCACATGAAAGGTGCGAAAAAAATTACATGAGGAGAAAAAAATAATCAAGGATTTCATTTTGAGTGAAGAACCAAATGTTTATTTTGCAGTGTGGAGATGCAGAGGTGATGCTATCCATAAACACAGGATGCCAACACAACCACATCTCAAAAACATGCTGCAGACGACTGGGGTGAGTGGATTCAAAATACACACCATATCGCTCTATATGTCGTTTTCGATGGCTCCCTATGTGCGTAACTTATACACTGTAAAACCAACTTATTATATGGCCTTACATTACCCACACACCTCAATCCAACTTTCATAGGAAACAAGTAGAAAGTCTAAAGATCCGGTTAAGTATAATTTTAAAGCACTTTGAATTACACAAGGTGTGTCCTCATAAACTGGCTTAATAGGGTAAACCTAGGTCATACCCATATCATTATATAAATGCATCCCTGTGGTTGTAAACCACATAAAACAAGTACACAATTTAGGATTGATGTAATGTACTGTAATGTGTATCTATATAGTGCATTTATTGTGTATGGCCATACACACAAAGTGCTTTAAAATAATAAGGGAGAGTTTCTCCAACACCAGTGTGCAGCATCAACTTGGATGATGCAACAGCAGCCACAGGAGAACAGAGCCAGTGCTCTCACCACACACCAGCTATAGGTAAAGTGGAGAGACAGTGATAGAGCCAATTCGGTGGATGGAGGGAATTTGGCCAGGACACCACTACTCTTTACCAGAAGTGCCATGGGATTTTTAATAACCTAGTAGAGTCAGTTTTAGCTATTGTTACATATATATATATATATATATATATATATATATATATATATATATATATATATATATATATATATAAATGGCTTGTATTCTATAATATAATATTGTGCAAATAAGAACATAATACATTCTTCTAAATGCTTGTATTCAATTTCAGACTAAAATCGAAGCAAGAAGATAAAGGTCGAGACAAGCAGCCAGTCAGTGAATCTTCTCCAGTGGAGACGGTGAAGTCTCTACAGCTGCAGCTGGGCAGAGAGAGAGTGCAATGCACTGCCCAGGTCATCGGTCAGACTTCAACATTTCTACACTCGCTTCTATAAAAAAACAACAACAACCGTCTACTACCTTTAGGACAAGACACTGCAGGCAAAAATGTTCTTTTTTTTAAGGCATATTTTAGACTTTAAATTTGTGGCTTTAGATTTTCTTCTTAGTCTATTCTAAAGAAAGCATACAAAATACAATTTTAAGCATTTCTTTTCAGATTTATAGGCTTCTTTTGACATTATCAGCATGTGTTTGTAGATTTCAATTATGATTTACAGTATATTTGAAAAATGTTTTTTCCCTTGTGCACTGAGCCATAAAACTCCACTTCAGAAGCACTTACATAATCCAAACCGAAGAGCTTTATTCATATCTATATTCTTAAGGTTTTTACTGAGGGATTTGTTCACACATAATCCGGCTGATTATACACAACATTTTCTACAAAAATGGAGATTTATTTATTTATCTTTTTGGCTGTTGGTGTGATGTTTTCTGAATTATGCAGCATTAAAAGAGTCCCCAAAAATCAATCTTTAAAAACTAATAGGGGAAAAAAGGGGAAAAAAGAAACAAGAATTTTCAACTTGACTATCCAATGTTGAGATTTTTGCTATAAATGCTTTCAACATTTTGCGTAACTCAGAAAATGCCTCATTTACATATTTAAACATAACATTTTATAAATCAGCAGTGTCTTGTTTTAATAACTGTCCAGTAAACCCCACATCATTGAATTCCGAGTACAGTAGCTGAGAGAGTTTGGCACCCACATAACCAGTTTCAACCAGCTGTATATAAATATAAGTTTAAAGAAAGCGGAAAAGTCTTGTGAAAGTGTGGAAAAGGAATATCCATATAAATGTCTTTAGCTTGCATTTGCATTCACCTTTCAGAGTGAGCCACTGACCTTATCTAGTTCAGACAGCAGTCTGCAAATGATGCACAAAGAAACGTGGGCAGTAAAGAGGAATTACGTAACACAGGCGTTCATGACCTGGGCCCGATGCCGGAATCGTTTTATGCTCGCACTGCATGCAGATGTAATATCTGCTAGTTAAATCTGACGTTTTCTGGATCCAATGCTCTATCAGATGCCAAACGCAAACAACAAATAATACTAACATACACTCACAGTGTGCTGTGATACTACTGAAAATAGTTATTGTAATGTTCATATACACACCTAATATTAGATGGTACATCTCTTATAAATCATTAGACTATTAGTGTCTGGAATGCAGCAATTCCAGAGACTATGACCATAATAAAGAATGTTTTAGTTTAAAACACACATTTTCATCTCTGTTTTGGCTCGATCACACCTATTAATTTTTTATTTGGTGAGTCTACTTACAAAAATACTAATCATTTATAGCAACTTTATTGTTTTTAAACCATACTATAGTAAAGTGTCTTTTAATGTATATATTACAGTATTTACAACATTTTTAATGAATGCTACAGCATACTGCAATGTTGATTATAGTGATCTGATGAACTACAAGAAAAACTGCAGTATACTGGTAAACTGTGGTATACTGTACTATAAAATAACCCTAGTTTTAGAAAACTACAGTACTGGGTATTTTCATTATATTGGTATATTTGTTGTGTTACTAAAAACTATAAAATTACACAACATTTTAATTCAAATATTTTACTATAGTTAACAATACAATAAATTACTAGTGTTTTATTGGTGTGGTAGGCGCTTTTTTAATGGTTTTCTATTGGCAGTGAGTATTTTGTACACATTACAATCACCTGCTGCATTTGTCAATTTTGATGGAGGGTTCTGAGTGCCTGCAATTGTAAAAAAAAAGTCAGAAAAGGCACCTGATTTCACGCACTCCAGCACCAAGACCATTGATACAGTGGTTGCCTAGCAACATTAAAAAGTGCAGCACACTGCTCTTTTCTAAAGTCAACAATATGCAGTATGGTGTGCCTCACGTTTTCAGAACTGAAAAGTGGGTTTGGTTTGATCAGCCCCTAAGACAGCATTTTTAGTCAATGAGTCCGAGTCAGTGCTGATAGTCTAGTAGGCAGTGTGCCAGCATATAGAGCAACAACACTGTAGGAATCTTGAGTTTAAGTCCTGGCTCATGGCCCTTTGTACAGCTCCACCTCAGGAAAAAAAAATTGCTGTAATGTTGCTAAGAAAGGAAAGTAAATACACTGACACAGGTCAAAGCATCTTATGTTACACTGTACCATGATTACCATGATTTTTTAAAAGAACGGCTTTAAAGGCACCGTATCTATTTTTTTGCTGCAGGAGGGCACATTTTTACAAGTTGCAAGTTGAGGAAGCTACAGGACTCATGTAGTATCATACCATCTAAATTAAGCCATGTTGTCATACACTCTTGACTTTTGTTTTCTATAAAACCAAAATAGAAAATAATGTGTGTGTGTGTGTGTGTGTGTGTGTGTGTGTGTGTGTGTGTGTGTGTGTGTGTGTGTGTGTGTGTGTGTGTGTGTGTTGACATTAGCATGGTGACACAGAATACAGTCTTTGCTCTGTATTTTAACATTACTTAAAATATTTGGGATAATGCAAGTACATAAGTTAGCAAAATATACAACACTGTTCTGGTGGTTTTGCGATATTTTAATCAAATAATTCTAAATTTTGACTTTACCTGATATGGGAGTTAGTGTTTGGGCTTTCAGCAGTGACATTTACTGTATGTTACACTGATCTGAAATCAGCTGGATTAAAGCAGTTAAATGTACTAGAACTTAAGATGTTCTGACACAATCTACATTGTAAAAGCACAATAGAAATATAGATGAATTTATATGACTAAACATTACTCTTGAATGGCTATTGAGTGGCATTTAGTTTTCTCAATTCAGAGCGGTAGATGCTTGGATCCAGAAACAGTACTCAAGCGTCACAACTTAACAAGCGGATAAAGCTACTAATGATGCCAGTTTAAATCAAGCCCCCTTATGTGCTCTTCTAATTAAAAATGATGCCTACAAGGGATGAATAGTCTCTCTTTCTTTACCACATTTTGAGTCTCGTCTCTTGTCTGTTAACAGAGGACGCCACGTTTGAGGTGTGTTTGGGCCTACAGACTCTGCTGGAACTAAAAGTAAGCCCTGCATTTATTTAACTATCTTCAGACTCTTGTGTTAATCTTCAGTCTACCTTTAGCTTTAAGTTCTTTTAGCTTTCTTTAGCTTTAAGTTCATGGATGAAATCCACATGCTACTGAAAATCTAGATCTGGGGTTTTTAAGCTTTTAAAATGTACTGACCTTCAATTTTGATTTATGAGTATTACCTTCGAGTTGCATTAAGCTCAAATTTGTAACAAAACAAAAATAAATAAATAAATAAAGAAAAGAAATAGTCATTTTTACAAATGAAAATAATTATGTGTAGTATAAGCATTTATGTAAAATGCTTTATATTAAATATTACACAAATAGTAGTAATTATAATTATTGTTATAATTTTATTACATAATTTCACAGAATTCAGACACGTTCACAGTTTTGAAAGTAAATTTATATGAATAAATATGAATAATTATTTAAAATATTAACCATAAATAAATAAATCTAACATTAATAAAGCCATTAACTCTGGTTATTATTAAATAATATGTACATTTTCCTTTTTCTAAACTACTTTTGTCTTCAGCCTTTTTCTCTGTTTGGAGTTTATTCTTACATATAAATGAGGCCCAATAAATGCTAATCAAAATCTTTTATAATCACAGTAAAATTTCAAGTTTAGTTTTGATAAAAAAAATCTAATACATTTACAAAAATTGTAAGCAAGGCATCCTTTTTGATAAAAAAAAAATACTCATTTATTTATGACCAGGGTAAAAAGTGACATTTAAAATCCAATATACAAGCATGTTTATTCTGTAGATATAAAATGGTGTGATTTATAAAAATATAGTATCTAGTCAAAAAACAAAACATAAGGAAATATGTTTTGGGGCGCTAAGTGGCTTTGATCATGATAGGGAATCATTTTTTTAATCTTATATCTAAATATTGAATCAGCTCTGAATATAGTTTGAGATGATTTAACATGCCAGAGGGGGAAAATTCCCCTTTGAGGTTTACACGAGTTATGAGGAGAAAGCTCAATGCTATTAAAAGAAGGAAAGTGAAAATCTATTTTAAAAGTATGATGGGAGTGAGAGAGAAAAGGGGGATGGAGGAGAGAGAGTGCAGACGGAGAATGAAAAATGCAGAGACCAGTGTCTGCACAAGTATATGCAAATTACTATTCTTGTCAGAAGAAAAAGATTAGACATGCAAGGAGAAGAATCCCTGAAACCAATGTTCAGATAATAAACAGCAGAATAAAACATAAGCTTATGTTTCAGCTACTATTCACCTGGAATACATAGTACTGTATAAATGTTCCTTAGACTGTTACAATAACAAAAACACAACAAAACATGTTCACCAACCATTTTGCTGCTGTTAGAATTAGATTTGAGATGATAAAGTCGTTTTTCTCAGTTTCAGCATTGCTGCAGTTCCTTGAAATGTCCTTGCTAACAATTCCCATGAAGAATGTAGACAATTACTGCATGAAGACATATTGTGATGCTAGCATGAAAAAGACGAAAAATTACAACAGTTTAACATTTTCGAAGGATTATAGAAGTCTGACAGAAAGAGATTGTGGGGAATTGTAGTTGTGTGGGTGTTTGGATTGAGTGATTGACAGTTCCTAAGATGTAAGTTGATCGAATGTTACTAAGTGAAGTGGCATCTACGATGTCATCATGGGTTGCTAGGGAAAAAAATCTTATACTGACAGACAGAACTATGGATTGATAGATTAGTTGTCATTTAAATGATTGAATTCGCAGTCCGTGAGGGAATGAGAAGGTCATTCCACCAGCTTGGTACACTGAATGAAAAGGTTTTGGAAAGTGATTTATTTAGGTGGCACTAATTTAACTTAATTGTTTTTACCAATGTTAATGGATTGAATTTAAACAATTAATTTGCCGTCCAAAATAAGAACAAGCAGCAGTAATTATTTTTTTGAGTGTACAATAAATCATGCAACAGTCAACGGGTTTACACAAGAAAGATCAACAGATAGCTTTAGTATGGTATGTAGTGAACCAGGGCTCCTACTGTCTTATTAACCGAATTTGTGTACACAATAAACTGAATCACAAGCAAGGGTAGCTGATAGAGAAATTCACCCCAGACAGAACAACAGATCAAAGGCAACAGCACTGACATTGTCAAGCCAGCATAATAATTACTAGAGTAAACAGCGGTGTCTATTTTCTGCAGTGCTGTGTGGATCTGAAGTCCAGAGTGCTCCGACTCCACAGCCCAGAGCAGGAGCTTCCCTTCCTGGACGCACCTGCCTGCAGCCAGTGCCATCACCACGACAACAACAAAAACATGTGACCTCCGACCTCTGTGCCCAACAACCGTCATGACCCATGTCATCAGAGAGGAAGATAACTAACAGGACGCCTGCATCTGGACTGTAGTGTTCCCTCGTGCCAGATCAACATACACAGGCCTCTCCTCTCCTCTCTCATCTTTCCTTCTTTATTCTTCGTCGTTTGTTTCTGTGCGACTTACAGAAATCTGCCAACTATGATTTTTTTATTATTCTTATTATTATTTGCCGTGCTGAATTAATTTGGATTAAATGTAATAAAGCTCAGGAGGAGGAAGATTGTGTTCTGACATTCTGAAATTGCCTTTATCGAGAGGTATGCAGTTAATGGATATCGATTAGTAATATTCTCTAACTGGTGATTTTAACTATATAACGAGTAAAATATATTCTTGTACGTTACTGTAACCGAGAGTTCAAGCGAAGCTGCACACTTTGAGAGATTTTGAACAATAACTAACCTGATTTTATACTTTCAAGTGTGTCAAAACGTAACAAATCAGAAACTTTCCTCAAATTTAGATAGAAATTTTACCCGAAACTGCCTTTTACTTAATGAAGTCTGTGTTTTTCTGCCCTTATTTCTCTTTAGAAGGCCAAATCTGCCCTCAGATGATAAGGACTCCAGCCAGACCAATCAAATGTTAATTGAGCCCTTAGGCTGCGATCTCACCAAATGACCCCCTAAAACCAAGCAAAACTCTTCATCTGCATGATTTTATAGACTTCCCTTTTCCTGCTTTTCCGTTTTCAGTACGTCAGAGTTGAAGTACTGTGTTTCCACTTTTCTTTAATGGTGTGTTCGCACTTGGCACGTTTGCTTGGATTAAACTGAACTCAGTGATTGCTCAGGGTAGTGCTTTTGAATAAATGTGAACATTGCCATCCTAACCTTGGTGCGGACCAAACAAGTGAACAAACTCCAGTGCAGTTTGACTAAAATACAAGAACACAACAAGAGCCAATGCCATCTAAATGAACCAAAAATATATATATATTTATAATTGTCACAAGATGAGACACAATTTGTGAAAAAAGGGTTAATGTAAATAATGAGAGATGAAAATACATTTTCCAAATAAACTCTGATTTAAGGAGCATTACACTCATGTGACTCCATTGTGTTGCTTACTGCTGGTTACTAGACTATCAATACTACAGACTGCTGCTCTAACAACAAAGGGGTTCCCAAACTTTTCAGCCCATGACACCCGAAATAACAATGCCAGTGACTCGCGACCTCCAATATCCTCTGAGGTGGTTATAAATACAGAAACCTTGCATGCAATGGCTCACACCAATATACCCAAGTCTATTCTTCCCAGGGGTCGTAATCCAATAGAACTAGTTACTATAAGCTGCTATGGTAGCTATACAGTATAAAGTAACTATAAACGACTATTTTTTCTTTTGAGTAGGTAATGGATAATGGTCTTATGGTTTAATAAAAATAAATAGATTTTTGGAAATTACCAGGCGGCTTTCCCGTCATTGTTCCGCGATCCCTCAGGGGGTCCCAACCCCCACTTTGAGAAGCACTGCTCTAACAAACTGATGGTAACACCCCTTATCTTCATTTGGGACTTTTTTTTTTGCAAACTTTAAAAAGATTTAAATCACATTAGGATGTAACCATGGCTACTGAAGAAGATCTTTATTTCTGTGTGTCAGAGGAATCCCTGGTGCTATTTTGACTCTTTTACAGGTTATATAATCTTATCGTGTTAATTTTTAGAACATGTCGCTTTAAGTAAGTGCAGTTACATAATGTAAATCATAAAAGTGTATATATATTTAAGTTTGGAATAAACAGCAACTGTGGCTATGTTTCGATCCACCTAATTTTATTTGCATTTTGGATATGCGCATTAAAAAATTGGTTTATGGAAGCGCCAAGATGCGCATAAGTTTTGAAAATGTGCATAAAAACACATGTGCATAAATGAATAGGACAAAGTTTTTATTTGATAAGAAAAGATACGTATAAACTATGATGAAAACACTTTTACCAAACACATTCCAGTATATGCGCATTAAAAAAGGTCATGTAATTTTGTTAAAAGAGATCATGTGATGATAAAAATGTGTGTGAATGGACAAACCAGCAGGCTGAGCACACTGTAAAACATCTGAAATATTGTTTTGGCTATTCTAAAACACCTTAACCATTCCAGTATTGGTGTTATTATACTAATTAATTAATTACCTCCAGAATCAAAAGCATCGGTGCTCTGCATCTCACACCTTCGACCATGCGTTCATTGCGCCTTGATATTTGTCCTCTGAAATTAAAACTTAAAAAGATTGCAATGTCTTATTAGTTGGTTGCCTTTGACAGCACATTTCCCAACAGACCGAGATTTGGCATGTATAAGTATTGTCTCTTCTCATTGGACAAAGTACATCTGTCCTGAGATTTTGCTAGTATTGGTCATCCATCAGAATACAGGCAGCTTTATATTGTGTCTTTCTTTGAAGCTGTTGTTATATTATCATTTTGAGCCCAAAAAAGCCTTCAGCCATAATTTGTTTGCATTTTTTAACTGATCTGATTTTCACAAACACAGCAGCATAATAAAGCCTGGTTTGTTGGTTCCACCACAGCCTGCTCTAGAGTGTTTTCAGGTTGGTTTATTATGTGATCTCGAACCAATTGTTTTGATGCAGATCTGCCAGGTTATAAACAACGAGCCAGGTGTGAAAGCACCCAATTTCGCTTTCTTTCTTGGCTTGGAGCAAAACAATCAAACTACAAGTGTGAACACACCCTTAGACTGGTTAAATCCCCTTTTCCTAGAGCTCAGTTTGCTCATATCCGCAAACATTTCTCCACCACTCACATCTTTGCTCATTGTTCTGTTTGTTTGCCCATAAGCACCGCCAAAAGCTCCAACTAAAATGCCAACCAATGACCCGAAGGGTATCTGTGTCCTACACAAACTCCCCCTAAATGGTGAGGATAATGAAATTGTTGGCACACAATGTTCAATTATCCTAATCGTCCAGCCTTTTAACACTATGGATGACCTTTGAGTGGAGGACATCTATATATTTGCAAACGTTGTTCTTTCTTTGTACGTGTGTTGAGGGCCAACTGTATGAAAACAAATTAAGAGTTTATTTTTTGGTTTCTTTTTCTCTGAACAGTATTTTCTCTGCCTAAACAAAATAAATATGTATTCTGGCTATGGAGTTGTCTCGTTTTCATCAATGCACTCATGAATAAGAAACAATGCACTACTAGCTTTGTTTCCATCTATTTTTATGCAAATTTTGGAATATCGCATAAAAAACTGCTAAATGGAAAGGCGAAAATGTGCATTTTGAAAAAGCACATAAAAAAACACATAGGGACAATCGAGATACAAAACTGTGCATAAACTACAACAGAAACACATTTATTGAATAAACTCCAGGATGCTCATTAAAAAACAACATGATTTTGTTTTAACAGATCATGTGATGCATAAAAATGGGCATGATAGGACTAATGGACATGGTAGTGATGGACAATTCAGTGGACCGATCACATTGTAAAAATCTATAAAAAAAAAGTGTTTGATCATTGTAAAATTCCCTAGCCAAAGACTGTAATCAAAATGCTTCGTTATTCAGCTGCACTCTCAAAGAACAATATCGCACCTTTAAAAGCCACCACACATTCATTACATTTACAAGTAATTTATTAATTTATTTAAGTAATAAAAAAAAGCAATTAATAAAAACAACTAAGTTTAAATATATATATTAGTGGTGGGCCATTATCAACGTTAATTAGCTGCGTTAACGTCAGACTCTTATTGCGCGATGTAAAAAATATCATCGTTAATCTATCCTGGGTTGGGAGCTGGGTCAGTTCTACGCAAGCTATGATGACTTTCACCTTCATATTTTAGCGTGGATGTATACCTGACCGGTGAGCCGTCTGACAAAAACATGCCCTTCTGAAAGAAATCAGCAGGATGCCCTTCTAGACCTTTCACTTACTTCGAAGATACTACTGTCTACGTTTACATGGACATCTGAAGTCTAGTTATTTGCCTTAATAGACAATACTATAAATTAAGGTGTTTACGTGAAGTGCTTTCATGTAAGAGTTTTCTGTAATTTTGGGTGACTTTCAATTAAATTCAATTAAATTTATATAATCTTATCGTGTTAATTTTTAGAACATGTAGCTTTGTTTTGAAAGTTCAGTAAGTGCAGTTACATAATGTTATTCATACAAGTGTATGTATATTTAAGTTTGGAATAAACAGCAACGGTAGCCATGTTTCTATCCACTTAATTTTATTCACATTTTGGATATGCGCATTAAAAAACGGTTTATGGAAGTGCCAAGATGAGCATAAGTTTTAAAAATGCACATAAAAATGTGAGTAGGTGCATAGGTGCAAAAAGGAGTAGGACAAAGTTTTTATTTGATAAGAAAAGATGCATATAAACTATGATGAAAACACTTTTACTGATGAAATTCCAGTATATGCGCATTAAAAAAAGGTCATCAAAGGTCAAAAGGTCATCAACGTTCAATTAAACTTATGAACATTTCATTCATGCACCCGTGACATACTGGTGTATTAGATGCAAATAAGGAGTAAGGACTGGTGAGAGTTTTATCAAATTTAATAACGCACAGCAAATGATAGGAAAAAACTTCCGCATTTGACAGTGTGTGTTTGTGTGCGTGGTCCTTAATTGACAGCCGCGCGTGTGGATCTTGACGGAAAATATGGTGAAAAGTCGGTATGAGGGCCTAATAGTCTGATCGCGGAGTTTACTTCAATAATGCCACTAATAAAAGCATACTCCACATGTCTTAATTCTATATCTGTTTAGTTCGGATTGACTTTAGTCAGATTAAGATAATCAAAAAATAAATAAATAAATCGCTGTTTTGAGCTTATGTAGGGCTACAGTTCAAAATTCATGTTTAACTAAATAAACAGTTAGTAAACACAAGTACATCTTATTGAACATCATTAATTTTCATCATAATAGT